ATCCGCGAGTAAACAAAACAGCAGTGTGCAGCACGTGCCAACTGTGCCAGTTTTCCCTCGTGCGGCACGGCATTTGACACGTGCACGGGGTAGATGGTAAATGCAAAGCGTGCACTGAAGAACTTTAACTATCTGTGGAGCCGGTGCAGCACGTATGTCGGGCTTTCACGAGAAACTGTAGGCGAAAACTCTCGCCGTGCACGTGCAACGTTTCAACACCCATGACTGTGAATGAAATCGCTTGATGTTAATGCTTGGTTTTACGAGAACTCATACCCGTGTGCCCAATTACAAGTTACAGTCTTTTCTTTCAATAAACTTAATACTGCAGACATTTTGCCGAAACCCTTTCAGGTATTGATCCATATTTGATGGATGGCCTCTTGTTTGAATATTTGGCAGCTCGCCATTATTACTAACAGTCAATGTCATTTAGGGTAAGGCAATAAACATTTTCATTCTATTTTTAGGGGTGAGGTTGGGGTTAAATATTATTGAAACCTCTCTTCTTCTGACGCCCACCCATTCGCCTTGTGTTGTAAATGTTTTACTCTTGCAAACAAACTAAATATAACAGTTCGTTTTTGTGTTTTTGTATTTTTAATAATAATATAGCACCTGTTTATGTTGGAAGAAATAAAAAGAATTCAGTTTCCATTTTTAAAAAAGATGCTTGTCTCAACTCCAAATCTCACCCCGCCGAAAATCAACCGGTGGCTTCCTAATCCAACAACTTCGCTCGTCCTTTAAGTTGTGTTACTTTTCCAGCAAAGTTTTCAAGGCATCCCTCACATCAAAACTCATCACGAAAGTATTTTTCAGGCGAATATATTTGTCTAAACATTCTTCCCATACCTGTTTACATTCAAGCACAATACCCGCGAGATAAACAACAATACGTGAGTTTAATCCCTTCCTACCGCAGGCGTTCCCTGACGCCCCCTCGGTGGCCACCACACAAATTCTTTCGACATACGTGCATTGCTCCCTGTGCAGAGCCCTGTCCCACATAGAGACCGCAGCGCTACGATTGTCGCTTTCTGTCTCCCCAACACCGGAGAAAAAAATAAAGAAATGAATCCAGCTCAGGCCTAGAATGTTTTGATAGAGTGAGTTTGATTCAACGCAAGGATTTCAGCAATACTCCAGCAATATTACGGCGGGGACACCAGAAATGGGCTTCACATATTGTACCCATGGGGGGAATCGAACCCGGTCTTCGGCGTGACGAGCGGACGCTTTAACCATTCGGCTACCACACAGCCCAACGGGTCGTGATGTCAGAAGCCTTGGTACTACAGGTCATGGTGTACGGAGCCTGGATATAGGCGACCCAGTGATGGGGCTTCTGTGGGAAACAACCACTCTGTTTTGATAGATCTGAACTGCCTCAGCATTAATTATTTTTCTCAGCTCCATTTTGATTTTCCTTTTATGGTGATGATGATGATAACAATGATGATTTTCATATTTAAAATGAGCTAAATCCACACCCAAAAGCATGCTGAAATCGCTCAGTGTGAACTCGGATTTTCGCTGTGATCTCCGTGGGGAGTGTACAACACACGCTGCCTGTGCTGTGTTTAGAAGGTTAACCTTATTATTCATATGAGCGACGTCTCGGTGTAGCTACTAGGTGCTTGATAACGGTGTAAGTAGCTACACCGAAACGTCGCTCATATATTATTAATAAAAAGTCGTATATCAATAGAACTCTCCGCGTTGTTCAACGTCATCGAGTACGTAACCTGTGCGTTCTTCAAAGGACAGCGTATCTATGTATACCAGTCTTGTCGTAAGTCTAAATGCACGGTCAGGGGTCATTCATTAAAAGCCCGACTCTGTGAGGGACCAGCTAGTTGGGTGCTCCATCAGCAATATCCCAGCAATATCCCAGCAATATTAGGGAGGACACCCAAACTGTGTTTCATGCATTGTGCCCACTGTGGAGCGTAGAACCAAACTTCAGGTGTAAGGAGCGCACGCTCTGGTCTGGTGTCCCTCGCCGTGATATTGCTGGAATATTGTTAAAAGCGTAAAACCTCACTCACTCACTCTAACCACCAATTCATCCACAGAATGGCTTTGAATTCCGTGCCATTACAGAATGGCTTTGAAGTGGTTAAAGCGTTGGCGTCGTCCAAGACCCAGGTTCGAATTCCGTGCCATTACATAACAGCAGTTCCAAATCACAGACATCAATGATTCCTGAAACCCGGTATATGGGATGGTGACGATGCTCAGAGTATTCCAGAATAAGAACATCTTTCTTGTTTTAAAACTGAAATAATTCCCTCATCCGGTATACTACATCTTGTCATTAGTTTTTTTAAAAGGTTGAATCTGCGTGTCATATACGAATATATTTGCATCCCGCCCAATACACTGATAAATCCCGAACTGCCCCGAATTGACCCCGAATCCTACGCTCAAACAGGGGTCAGCATCCTCACATGTGGGATTCGAGACCGGGTCTTGAAGAGACGCACCCACTGCCCCAATAGTAGGACACTATTTGTCAGCTGAAAGGGCGCAGGTCTCCACGGGTCATCATAAACAAATTACAATTTACAACTGAATATGAAATTACACATATCCGTTGGGTTCTTGCTCTGACCAGTAGTAATCCAACAGGTGACGGTGTGACCTTGCCGCCCTTCTGTATATAAAGTGTTTCGTCCCTACTCAGTGGAGCGTCACATCTGTGTAGACTGTGAGGGGAATTCCACAAAGAGTATTTCTCCATGCGTACAATCAGTTCACATCTGGCACGAATTGATTGATTTTTTTGTTAAAGGGGGGTTAAATCAGGTAAGCGACGTCCTCAAAGATTTCAAATGAACAGGTTTCGGAGTTTTATTAGAGTGTACTTCAAACGTGTTTTTCATATCTGGAGTCTCCTGTGTAGCTATAGTTCACATGGATGCTGGAACAGCACCATGGGTGAGTGAGTGATGTTTGGGATGTATAGAGAGTGTGTGAGAGTGAGTGAGTGAATTTAGTTTAACGCCGCTTTTAGCAATATTCCAGCAATATCACGGCGGGGGGACACCAGAAATGGTCTTCACACATTGCACCCATGTGGGGAATCGAACCCGGGTCTTCGGTGTGGCGGGCAAACGCTTCAACCACTAGGCTACCCCACCTCCCCTAGGGATGTATAGGGACAGTAGTAGTCACGATATGGCTGAGATATTGCCGATGTGACGTTAAATATTAACTCACTCACTCACTAGGACAGTAGTAAGGATGTACATGTGATTGCTGTTGTCGTTGAGTTATAGTACTGGCAGATACATTAGTAGGAGTGATAGCTCAGCAGAAGGAGCTGCTGCTGCAGTAGTAGTAGTAGTAGTAGTAGTAGTAGTAGTAGTGAGTTTAGTTTTACGCCGCACTCAGTAGTAGTAGTAGTAGTAGAAGCAGTAGTAGTAGTAGTGAGTTTAGTTTTACGCCGCACTCAGTAGTAGTAGTAGTAGTAGTAGTAGTAGTAGTAGTAGTAGTAGTAGTAGTAGTAGTAGTAGTAGTAGTAGTGAGTTTAGTTTTACGCCGCACTAATAGTAGTAGTAGTAGTAGAAGCAGTAGTAGTAGTGGCAGCAGCGGCGGCAGTAGTAGTAGTGGTAGCAGCATGGAGTTAGTGAGATGGATTCTACTCCGCGTTTGGCAATGTTCCAGTGCTGTCATGAAAGAGGACGCCAGAAAGCAGCTTCGCTCGTTGCCATAATTGGGGAATCGAACCCAGGACTTCAGTCTGGCAACCGCACCCCTTCGTAGTAAGTAGTATTAGTAGTAGTGGTAGCAGTAATAGTAGAAGCAGTAGTAGTTGATCAAGTTGATAGTGCAAGCATCAAGAAAACCAACACCGTCTGTCAGTGACACATTTACTGCTGTGTTGACGAGGCCTGTCCATCCTATAAGTCAGGGAGTTTATCTCTACTTAGCTGTGATAACTGTTTGGGTTTATTGTAATACAATGAAGATAATCTAATCGTGACTGAGGGCTAGCCGTTCCAGTTTGTGAGCCTGACGGGCTTAGATAGATAGAGATACCATCTTTTATGGTGTGAATTTTCGATTGCCCATTTCAACAATATATTTGGGGTGGAACTCACTTCATTCAGGTTATCCATGGGGATCCGGGCAGAAATCTAAGACCTCTACAGTAACCTTTTCCTGTTACAGGATGGGTGGTGTAGGTGGTCTTGTGGTTAACGCTATCGCTCGTCACGCCGAAGGCCCAGGTTCGGTTCCCCTTCCGTGATATTGCTGTCACTGTGGTAAAAGCGGCGTAAAACCGTTCTCAATCACTCACTTGTCTTATGACGGGAGTATATGACATGCCATTTTATCCCAAATGCGTGGATCGATGCTCATGATGTCAATCACTGGAATATGGTATCCGATCCAGGATCGATTATTTACACACCGCCGGCATATTGCTGAAAAATTGCTGAGCGCGGCGTTAATAACAAATTAACTAAACGTATGTGTCGTGAAGCTCGACTGGTTTCATTAAACCTGGAGGAATACAGTCTTCTGTACGACCCAACGGGTGTAATGCAGTCGACAAGCGGTGACAGGCCAGGCCGCCTATCTTCATACTGTTAGCGAGTCCTCAGTGGGAAAATATTTCAGATATCTAACCCTCTCCGGCCTTTTCTCATTTGAAGTACGGCATTAAACGGGCGTGTAGTGTATTCAATGCGTGACACTTACTCATATGGGATACAAGACTGACATACTCAGCCAGTGATATGGGTGTGGAATAACTCGTTCTTCCACCTTAACGTTAACACGTATTATGAAATAGACATGCTATTGACCCGTGTTACATGGGGCGTGATAAGTCTTATTTTTTCCTTCTGTTTCGGTTAATCATTCCTAAACATATATCATTCCATAGGTACGTGAAGTCGAAACAAGTATAAAGTTGAATGGTCAGACTGTGACACCCCTTGGACGGGGCAAGGCGGCACACGTGACCCAAGTTGATTGGTTGTTGACATCATGTGACTTTGCACGAGCGACGCCATATTGCCGAGCTATCAATTGGCAGACGACGGGACAGGTGGTTGGCAAACAAATCTCACGATCACAAGTTAGGCAATATGAGTCTGAACGGCATGGATACCCACTGCAAACCCCGCCTGTGTCACCTAATAAAATGGCCCGATTTTAATGGATACGGCTTCAATCTCCATGCCGAGAAGGGTAAAGCCGGCCAATATATCGGCAAAGTTGACGATGGATCGCCAGCCCAGGCTGCAGGTTTGAAAGACGGGGACAGGATCGTGGAGGTGAATGGCGTAAATATCGGCAATGAAAATCACCAGCAGGTGGTTAGCCGTGTAAAGGCTGGAGGAGAGGAGACCCGCATGCTAGTGGTGGATAACGAAACAGATCAGCATTATAAAGATGAGAGAAAAGTCGTTCGGGGTGACCTCCCCGAAGTCGTCGTCATCCACTGCCCGCCCCACGATACAGGTAAGTGAGCGTTATTGTGTCACCTGTAGTATCTACCTGTCAGGTAATTATGTCCCCAGAAAACGCCATAGAAAATAAAGTTGGGCTGGTTACGTATTTCCTTCAAGATCTATATCGTATTGACTCGACGGAGTTTGTTTATTCCGATTACGTTTGAACAGCCGCCAGGTACGAGTGGTATCGATAAAGGATCGCTATGCCCTGCTGTGTACATTGTTGGTCGTGATATATGAACCAGACTAGCCCACTGAGCGGGGCTCTCGATTAACATTATATTTATGTCAGTCAGATCGGCTGAGATTTGACAGGAGCAGATTTTGTTCTAAAAGTTTTGAAGGCCAGCACGTTTGTAGGTAGTGTCAAAATACCAAATGCCCTATATTATTTGTATGACTTCAATCCAGTCGATAGCCCTTTTTAAAGTGTTTCGGGGAGTGAAGGCCACCCATAAACCCTATATCCGACTGACCGTGTGGAAACTCTGCCCCTCCCCCTTTTCGAGTCTAAGGGATTTGACCTGTCAGCCGAAGTTGGTGGGCGTTTAGAGCCTGAGTGACAATCGGAAGGCAATGTTGGAATGGTTGCTTTTCTTGTTGTGATACATGTGTGAACACATTCCTATTTCAAACTACAATTTAGTTGGAATTTGTTTAGCCACAAGGACCAAACCTCCAAGGGTTAAGTGAAGTTGACAGACCACAATGATGGTATAGGGTATAACTTGAATAACCTTCACTATATCACTTCACTAGTTATGTACTTATGAATAATGGTGGCTTCTTTACTTCTTAGATTTAGTTCAGTAGTTCATATAAATATAGTAATTTTCAAATTTTCTTCAGATTGCTGGTCACAGTTTAGCATTTATTTTGTGAGGATTAAGCTCTGTATACATAACATATCTATATGTGGTTATTCAGCAGTGAACAGCCAGTGATATATATTTATATATACTATGTATATACACCATGTATATTTGTAATTGTCATCATGATTGTGTAACATTGTTTTCTAAGGTGCATGGTTGATAAGCATGAATATCAACCTGTTTTATGGGATACAGCACTGCATATCATGTGTTATAAGCTGTAACCACTTGTTGTTCTAGACATGGTTGATATTGATTGATAGATATGAATCAAAAGTCTGACTTTCTATGAACAGGTTTATTCATAATCATATTAATACTGTGAAAAAATATATTAGGCTGAAGGTTATGTTGATTATTAAGTACTTATCTTCTTTCCTGTAGTTTTTCCTGATGATTGTATTGACAATGTTTTATATCGTTCACTTTAAAAAGATTGTAAAAGGTGCACTATTAAATGTACCCCAGGAGACTGTAAACAATGAGAAATAATTTGACAGATATATGACTTACAGCCAGCTAGTATTGGATTACAGCATGTTGGGAGAGGAACCAGATACATGTCTAAACAAATGTATTATTAGCAACACCTATAATTCAGATCCTATTCCCACACTCGCCTTACTAAGCAAACATTTCAAACGGGTCATTTCTCTTGATGTAAGAGGATTTCTGGTCTTAATGTAACATACTCTGATTGCATCGAAAGGCGGATCATCCCTACCCGATTAAGCTTGTTTTGTTAATTTCTTACTCTTGGTTTTGAAGTCCTTGTGGGTTATAATGGTGGATTTTGTTCCTGTTTCCCTTTTACATAATAAATATCTCTGCAGCCTGGACTTCTGGCGTTAAACATGTGGGCGGTGGAGTAGCCTAGTGGTGACAGCGTTCGCTCATCACGCCAAAGACCTGGGTTTGATTCCCCACATGGTACCTTTCTAATATGCATAGACAGAATACTGTTGTATTCCACACAGTACTGGTTGATAGGGGCAAAGATAATAGTGTAACATGTGATAACTATCTTTCTAATAAAGTTGCAACATTTAGCGTTCATATTTGAATACAGTATGATAGATAGCCCAAATGGTATAAAACACGAAAAAAGTTTTACTGGGATGAAGAGCTAGTTTTTAGTGTGTTGCTTGTGAGTAACATAAGCTGTCATTAATTCAATACTTACCTTGTTTACTTGAGGGAGTTTGTTTTCTTTCATGAAGGAATTCACCTTGAACTTGTCAGGTGCCACGTCTTATCCTAATGATCGAGATATGTTTTTGACACCTTTTGATTCCTTATTAATTATATAGATATATGTCAGTGGTTCTGTGTGTTTATTTGTAATTAATGGCATGTAATCAAGCTCTGTAGAGAAAACAGACTGAAATATGTTTTTGCACATCTTTGGTTTTTGCTTGTAAAAATGTCAACTTTATCATGTTACTGCGCGACATTTAAATAGACTTTGTATAGTTGTGATAGATGTTTATTAGGTCTTATAGAAGTTCTACACGAGAAATAAGCAGTATTTCTCATGAACATGATAAATAAATGAAATAATGGATCGTCAGTGTTTTTCTAGATGTGTTTTTTACAGCTTATTAATCAGTTACTGGTAAGATTGTATCATGTTTGTAGTGGGAGGTACGTAATTGCAGGATTTACCATTTGTTTACTGTAGGGATTCAGGAGTTTTATCTTGTCCTCAGCAGAGTGAGTGAGTGAAGCCGCTTTGAACAGTATCCCAGTCATAAACCACCATGTCAGGTTGATGAAGGGGGAAAACTTGAGGTAGTGTGGCGCGGAGACATTCCCTGCTTACATGGTGAAAGCTCCATACAGGGAAGGTGCTGATGTATCAAGAAACATGATTGAGGTGAACCGGGATTCGAACTCCTGATCATGGCGTAGAGATATGCTGAAGTACCTTACTCTGCACAGTGAGTTACACTGAGAGTATGGTTTTACGGCGCTTTTAGATGAGGGGACACTTTGACCATTAGGCTACCCAGTCCTTCCCAGTAAGTTAGTGATGGAGGCTTCTCAACGGTCCAAGCCTCTGCCTCAACAGATGGCTTTTAGCCAATAGTTGTCATGGATATTTTATGGAGCCACACAACTGTTAATTGATAGCCTGCTACAAAGTAATTATTTTGCAGATAAAATATATAAATGTACATGGTATTGCTACATCCTTTGGAGACATTAAAAAAATCAATTTGTCATTTCAGACTTTTTTATAACAATACATCCGTGCAACAATATCAAACTTTGTCATGTTTTATTGGCTGCCAGTTCTCCATGGCAACATGTGGATGTACACAGTATGTCAGCTGTCTCGTGTCATATAGGGCTGTCAGCATTAAGATTTTTCAGCACAAATTTCGTTGCATCTGCCAGATACAGACTATGCAAGGTTTATTTTTCTCACCTGAGTGTTTGCCTTGAAACACAGACAAATAAAAACATTGGCTTATGTGCTTCACATCTCTGACTCTCCTGCTTGTCCACGTCTTGGGAAAGGTTTTTGGCTTGTACGTCATGGTACGCTGAAAGTTACGAGACTTTATAATCATTTAAGGTGATGTAATTGGATGAGGGTTGATCCAGGAAGTTGTAGTGCCACAGGTCTGTGTTTACTGCGTGGTTTGACACAAGTCCGTGCTACATTATACACAATGCATAGTCTAACATGTTATAACTGCGTAGTAAAGGTTATAACTAGTGCTGTTCCGATTAATTGAAATAATCGAAGATTGGTCGCAGTGACCAAACGACCAAGCAATCGATCACATTTTCTCATTATCAAACACAAATGATTTTGGAACTACTGTTTTAGTCTTTGAAACACTTGACTATGTAACATATCTTTGAAGTTGTCAGGGCCTGAAAACCTGTTTATTTCTTCGAAAACTCACTTCACTAACTGAAATATTTATCATGACTGAATATTTCTTGAAGACTCTGGGAAGTTTATGTTCATGGTATATTAGTCATCACTTTAAAGTAGCAAGTTGCATCATGTTATACATACTTACAATAACAACCTGGATAGGAAAATCTGAAAAATGACGCTAACCAATTTTTTTTGATGATTGTTCGTTGGTAATGAAGCAGTCATCAATTGCGAGATTCCAACCAATTCCCAACACTAGTTTTAACAGTAACTAAACAATATACAGGTTATAACATTCCATGCTTAGGCAGTAGAGGTTATAATTGTCATATTGCTACAGCAGTTATTAGTCTTTGTGACACTATGTTTATTCAGCACTCATAGAGTCCTTTCTTTCATGAACATGGGAACTATGGTCTGTTATTGACTAAGGTGTCGAGCAATAAACTATCAGGAAATACCAATGGATCATAATCATCATGATCATCATCATGAACACTTGTTTTAGATTGTGCCGCTAAGTTTGTGTGTTCATTTCTGAAATCAGAAAATTCAAAGCTGTGGAATAATCTGGAGTCTTCACTCAGATGTCTTTAGGTCATATTTGGTTGCTGCTGGTGAATAAAAGATAATATTGTACAGCTTATATATCACTGGTGTGCCTAACCTTGGGCTGACAGCCACTGATACCACCAGATAAGGTGTATCTCCCCAATATTTCTGCAGCCCTGCTGGATATTAGATGAGTTATCCAGTGACACATTAGAGTTGATGACTGCCTCACTAACCTGCTATATCTCCCAGTGAGTATATAGCTTATCATGCTACCTAGTATATACTGATAACCGTTGTCGGAGATTGGCACTGGCAGGAGTGTTCAGGGTCACACTGATCCAATTCTACGGGGTTGTAGATTCAGTTTAAAGGCCATAGTTTCATACGGATCATGGAAAGTTATTTTGCCCAAATCCTTTAGGTTAAAAAGTAAGGACTCAAATCTCCTCATCATACTTGAAAGTAGATGTGGCTCTGTAAAATGTATAGGAACTATAGCAAAAGCTAAATGGTAGGAACAGGAAGTATTATAACTCTTGTATTCTTGTCAGTAAGTACAATGTGGTCCAACTGTGACTATATATTTTTCTAACTGTTTTGAGTGCCAAAGTGGAAGTTGATTGGCCCTGTAATGAGCACATGATATGATTATTTGTTGAACTTCTCACTCAGCAGTATTCC